TTGCTGTGGTCGTTGTTGTTAATATATATATTTATTTATTTATTTATTGTGATCTTCATTAATGGTAATGCCTAGGCCTATATAATAGGCCTACATGTATAGGCCCTATAACTTGATCTTGTCACAATGTATTTAGCTCTTTTAGACAGCAGTGACTTGCCACCTATATTGGCTGTAGGGGCCTATATATAGGCCTCAAACTTTCCATAGGTGGATCTAGACCCCCATCTTGCTGCAAAAATAATAGCTTTTCAAAACTTTAATTAGGCCTACTCTTCCATGTGGAGTGAGTTATGTCAAATGTGTTAGGTGAGAGAGTCGGATTCAATTAACGCAATCACACTGTCAATTAAAAATTGAACGGTTGTTCTTCCTTCATTAGTGTTTGTCGTAATTATTGTGACACAAGCAGGTCTAAGAATGTCTATTTGTATTACACCTAATTGGCAAATCAAAACTTAGTTTAAGAATACCAGTTTGCATGATGCCGAGTTGATATTCAGTTGTAGGTTTAAACACACTGTCATAGTTAAGGGACCTCTCTTTTAAAAGGTATTTATTTATTTATTTATTTATTTATTTATTTATTTATTTATTTATTTATTTATTTATTTCATTTGATCATTAGTAGCCTAGAGGAGCGAAAAGAATTGGTGAGGTAAGATGACACTGTGTTATAAATCACACTAGATCTACATCTTCAATTAAAAATTTAAAGATCATTTGTAAAACCAACTAGCTGAGTAAAATCTACCATCAAAATAAAGCGAGGGATCACTGCAGCCTGGGTATAGGTTAGGGGGGATGCTCCTACCTTAATGAAATTTTCAATGAATTAAGATACGATGATGCTTTCTGGTAACATCTGGACGCACGTTCGCTCAACTGTTACACAATGTTATTATCGGTATAGGCCTACCCACTTAGCGTATGAACAGCCAATACCGTGACCAAAATAACCCCTTACTTGATCTAACGCTTACATACTACCCTCTACCAGGGTCACTGATTGATTTTAGCGCTACGAAAAAGTGCACATAATTAATCTGTGACCCCGGTAGAGGGTTCTTACATACTAATGTGACCTTTTTAAAGACAGGTAAACTCGCCGTGCAACACGCAGTAGTATTATTTTTGTACTCTTTTGATAAACATGACCATTGTCTGGCAACATACAGATTCTGTAATGTGGATTATGACCAGAATTTCGATCTATTAAGACCAATAGGAAATGGAAATACACAGGACAGGTAAATAAAGCAAGCTGCAGTCAAAACAAAGCAATTGGTCATCATCATTATCGCGTATATTATATGTACAATGTGTATATTTTCCCGTTTTGTCGTTTATTACTACCACAAAAGTAAAGAACCGATTGTTTAAAATGTACAGTTTCACAAGTCCATTTGAACCAATGCGCTGTTTAATGATTAGACTGATTCAGAAGGTCGTTAGGTTAGCTTGAAATTTGCTTGCAAAATATAGTATAAGTTCTTGGCACTCCAGTCACAAAATCCTCAGCCTTCGTTCTCAAATCTAGCAGTAGTTCTTTGACCTTAAATGCTAATCAAGGAGTAGAGATTTTATTTTTTTGTTCACCAGAAAAGGGTAACAAAATATGAAAAAAATAGCGCATTTTGTTTTTCATTAATAAGATGCATCAGAATTGACTGCAATTTAGGATAAACCTAGGTGCACAGCAATCAAATAAGGATCACTTGATTCTCTACGCGATTTCTTGCTTCTTTTTATCTTATTAATTCATTCATTCATTCATCATTCATTCATTCATTTTTTTTTCGATCTCGATCCCATGTATGTGATGTCACTTAACGATACGTCAAATGAAGGGACGTTGAGCTAATTATTCAGCCATATTGATTACCTGAAAATATGTATAAAAATTTATGTACATTAAACTTAACTTATTAAAATAAACAAAACATCAACACTTTGATTGTGCGTGGAAAACGCTGACATGAAGGCCCTCTATGCGATGCACACTTGTCATAACTATACATTGTATTAACGCCCCGGAATTAACTTCCGACACTCATGATATAAACCCAATAACGAATTACAGTATAACATTCCGAACCTCGTGTGCGTTGTACGAGTGAACCAAGAGGCCAAATAGAGTGTGGGATCGGCGACGTCATATTCACGACAAAATGGAAAAGCTAGAGGAACAATTTGGCGGTGAGTTCAGCTCATGTTAGTTATACCGTATGAATGCATGTGGT